ATATATCAGCAAAACGAAAGGTTTTGATTATGAATATTTAGATAAATGCCATTTCTACAATATTCTAGGTCACTGAAGAAACACGTCATTGCCAATTTAATTACATTGTGCTACATTGTTTGATTTGTAAATGCAACATTTGGTCAGGGCATCCAATGACCCACAACTAGAGTTTAACAAATGTCAATAAGAAAATGAACTGAGGCGTCTACATGTTGAAACAAATAGAGACTGAGCAGAAACCTGGGTGTGTGAACTGGGCTGTGTTTGCTTCGAGTATGACCTCACCTCAATTAACGCTATCAGATAAAAGCTTTTATATGACCAGTTAAATAGCCCGAGTCCTGCCTCAATCAGATTAAGGTTAAATTATTAGCCCTGATGTTAACATACTGGCTCATACTGATACACAACTGCAGTCTGCTGCTGCTGTACACTGACCAGCTGCAGCAGAGAAACTAGCTGTTGTATTTTATTCAAGGGCGGAGAGAGGAGAAAGAGGACTGAGCATTTCATTTTTTACCCTCTATACTGAGATTTGTTCAACCAGTGTGACAAACAGGGCTTAAGCCTTGTATCTCTAAATATCAGATGTATTTGTTCATGTTTGGATCAAGGCCACTGCGGCCCTGCAAAGCACCTCCAGACAAACCTGTACTGATAAAAGCTCTTACAAAAAAATTCAAATCAACCTCTCTCTCGCACACAAGCACAGATAGTGACTGTGTTGTTTGCATAATGGATTCTGACTACAATCGAACTGCACTGCAAACTCCTTATTAAGGCCTGAAAATCCTCTTTGCTGCACTCTATATTGGTGTGTCACACAGCTCTTGCCCACCTTACTGCCCCACTAAATCTGCCATGTAAGCTGCTGGGCAGACACAAGTGGCTGAGATACCAAATTTTTATCCAAGGCGTGTAATAGAATTTCCACTTCATAAAAAAGCAGGGTATCAGCAACTACTTAAAGTGGAACAAAATTGTATTTCACTCACTACTATCACCCATTTATATAACTATATACTGTATATATATATACACAATAATCAAACTAATTGTCCTTTCTTAATTTGTTCTGAATCCTGTGTGTTTCACCCACCCATCAGGTCGCTGATGGTCTCTGAGCCCTGGCTGTGCTCCCTCCTCTCTGTCTCCAGTGCGGCCTGCAGGCTGATGCATTCCTTCTCCAGGCTCAGCTTGCTGCGCTCCAGCAGGCAGCATTTGTCCTGCAGCTCGCGCGCGTTGGCCTCCAGCTGCTGCAGCTGCTTGCTGTTGTCCGTCTGGGCTTTGCGGAGCCTCGTCGCCGCCTCAGACTCTGCCCGCAGCAATGTGTTGGCTTCCTCCAGCTGATGGAGACAACAATGGAAAAAATGTCTGAAGATCAGTCAGATCAGTTTTTATTACTGGTTACTCATCTCTTTTCCATTTAAGAGTAACAGTGTGTCCTGAGTCCTGTTACAGACCAACTTTCCTTGCAAACACTTCACTGGAAAAAAGACAAACAGGCTCAGTGCTGTTTATAATGCACAGTTTCGTACTCCTTGTTGAGAGATATGTGGGTTTGGTTGTTTGTTTCTGTTTGTCAGCAGGATTACGGGAAAACTACTGGCCTAATTTTAATCAAACTAGGGAAGGGTGGGCCAAGGAAGTAAACATTAAATTTTGGAACGGAACTGAATTACAGGGCAGATACACAAATTATTTTTCACTTTCGTTAACATCATGAGATAGAGCATCTGAATAGCAGAACAGTTGGTGGCTTTTTAGACATTCAGTGACTGACCTGTTTCTGCAGGTGAATGTTCTTCTCATTTGAAATGTGGGAATTCTGGTTTCTCCTCTTCATGTCATCCAGCTGGTCTCGAAGGCTGTTGACTGCACAACACACAAGAACACAGTCCGATTTTTCATGATAATTCTCTTCTTCTTCTTCAGAATTTGATAACAGTTGATCTTCAACACACCAAGCTTCTTATATATACTGTATTACTACAATATTCAAGTATTAATCCTTTGTTTAATTTTTAAATGAATGAGGAGTTGGACATTTACATCAAACTGTGATGAGTATTATTGTGCATATTATACAGTATCCACAAAGAAAGGACAAGTTAACTGTAGAGCAAAGTAAGAGTGGGCCTGCAGACTTGTGCTCCTCTGGTGAGCATGTTTCCACACTGTTTAAGAAGTCTATTTGACCAGGTGATGGCAGTAATGTCCACATTATATCAGTCTGTAAACTTCCATTAAAACTCTTCTAATTCAAATTAAAAGCTTAACAAGAGGGATTTAGTAAATTCATAGAGGAAGCTGTCAGTTCATATTAACCATATTAAACCTCTAGGATCATTTGGGGGTTTTGTGTTGACTTGATAGTTTCTGAAAATTGTGAACACACTTCATTACACATCATATCAACTGCCATTTATTAAACAAACCTGCAGTGTCTCACTCTGCAGGTGAAACAAAACTGTTTCATCAACAAAGTAAATGAAAGGGCTCATATAAGAAGAAATCTGATCACTTCAGATTAATGTATCTTGTCATGAATATACAGAATCTACAATATGTGTGGGATGTCTCATGTCACCTTCGTTCTCCAGGCAGCGCTTCCTGTCAGCCTCGCTCTCGGCCTTGCGGTGGCTCTCCAGGCTCTTGTGCTGCAGCAGTGCTTTCTCCCTTTCTAGCTGCCTCAGACTCGACTCCAGATTCTTTCTGCTGCTCACCTAGAATCAATCATTAAACACTTTGTTCAACACGTCTGATAGGGCTGTTTCCACGGTGCTGTGATTCCATAACTGGCTTTATGAGAAATGATTCCTGGGAATCCAATCGGGGCTCGACACAAATCTGATCCCAATAGACATTTTAATGCGGTCATTAGAATTCAACAAGCGCTCCGGCTGAACCTCACGGGATGCGACACATTGGTATTCATCTGAAACATGGTCAAGTGAAAAGTGAGAAATCATTGCTCTGACTTAAATACAGCTTTTAGGAAAGGCCATAAAAATGGGTGAAATAGATGGAGCTGTTGCGATCCCAGAGGGGAAACCGGGTCATTGCACCGGCAAATATCAAAAGTAGGACAGAGCCAAAAATATGCAAGTGATCTCCAACACTAACAGGTGTCTGACTGTATCTGCACTGTTGTTTTAGGAGGATTATCTTACCTCTTCCTCAAGTTCTTTGGAGATTTTGTCTAGACGGCTGGTGGCAGCTCTGCAAAAAGAAAACAAGACATCGTTTACACGCTGCTGTTCACTGTGCTCACTGTGTCAGCCAGTGGTGCAAAATGAAGAAAAGCTACTACTGTCAAGTAATGTTAGTACAGCTCCTGTACCTGTGTTTTTGCTCCAAATCACTTCTGACTTGCTTCTCATTATTCAGCTGCACCTCCAGGTGGCGCAATTTCTTCTGCAGTGCTGCTGACTGTAGAGAGAAACAAAAGTTGAAGAGCTGTTTTCAACCTTTACTGCATGTCATCCATCTTTTCTGTGACTTAACTGTGTGTTACACAATGAAGCAATTAACATAACTGACACTCTCAGGGCTGTGTGACCTTTAAACCAGCATCAACTCAAAATTTTGGCCACCTGGGGGAAGCACAACAAGCCGTAAACACAGCACTGATGTACCATCACCTTTTCAGTTGCTATGGTGAATTTGTTAGTAAACAGTAATTCATTTACACACACACAGAACAAACATTAGTTTGGAGTTTCCACCTGATAAATATAAGTCCACTGTTCACTCTTTTTTTAACTCTGTTTTAGTCTCCACCCCTGAGTGAAAGATCTGGCTCTTTTGTTATGTTCACCAGCTAGTTTATGTTTAGGTTGCGTAAAGTGAGTCCTCAGAGTTTTTTTATGCCACTGATGAGAGCTGTGAGACTGAACCAAAGAAGTTACAACTGTGAAACCAAAACAATGAGCTAAAGGAGGCTTAAGTGCTCCATGTAGCTGAGGAGTACATCAGAATTGGGATATAACTCTCTGCGTTCCTCACTACAAGCGGCTCTTTACATTGTTATGTACAAAGTCATCTAGCCAAAGGTTATTATACCAGATTTTAGGTTTTGACTTGAACAAGAAATACAAGCTCTTTTAAACATCTCACAATGAAAGGTTTCTAGACATTACAGATGAAAACCATTAAAAGAACAGTGTGTAGGATTTAGTGGCATCTAGCAGTGAGGACTGCAGATTGTAACCAGCTGAGACTTCAAGTTAGAATCCCGTCAGTGTTCATTGTTCAGGAGTTTTTTAGTGGGGATGTAATGATCCATCGATCTGGATTGATATGTCAATTAAATGATCAAGAATCCAATGTCATCGATGCAAAGTGAAAACATTCATCCATTTCATCATCTTTAGAATATGCTTTTATTTTGAAAGTCTAATATAATGGATAATGTTATTTACTCTGGATTAAATCAGCAGTGAGAAAATATTTTGGAGACTATACAAGTCAATGGACAGAGCACATGGTGTATATAAACAGCGCCGTTACGAGATACAACATGATGTGAGGTTACCTGCCTGGATGGCCATCTCCGCTAACTTCTCACTACACACACATTAGCTGCTCTGTTTCCTCAATGTTTGGCTGAATAAACACGCATGCAGGCTGAAATTCAACCGAACTGTTCTGTTGGGAGATGCAGTGACTATAACAAATGGTGAGTCAGAAAAATAATAACTTTACATGTAATCTGTTAAGCTATGAGTAGAGGGGAATAGTCTGCTAGCTGCTAGGCTAATTTATGCAATGTAAACATGCTTAAGCTAATCATGGGTGACTAGGAAAAAAAAAAAAACAATTGCTTTGTCCATGAACCTTGACATTACTGAGCTGAATTTGATACTTTTGTTAAATGTTGTTGTTTCATGGCTGTTTGGAAAAGTTTGCCTTCAAGGCTTTAAGCCAGATAGTCCTGAAGTTTTATGAAACAGATTAGGTTTGGGTTTAAATGAAAAGATTTCTTCTAGAAAGGCCCTGAAGATTAACTTATTCCATGTACTGTTTTTTGTGTTAGTGGAGTCAGTTTAAAGTAAACTTTACTACACTTAAGTGGTTACAGTTATTTACATTATTTATGTATTGTTTTTATCTTTTATGGCCAAAAGCACAAAAATGGGTGGCAGCGTCTTCCGTAACAGATTGTGTTAAATGGGCATATAACATCATCTCATATCGATGGCAGGCCCTTAAATCCCATCAAATAGAAATTGTATCGTGGCAGAATTCGTAATATCTGCGAATATAGTATTGTTGTCCAAAGAATCGATATAATATTGATATTTACACTGTAATTTTTAGTGGGAGTCGAATTAGCCGCAGAGGTCTCGCCCTCTTTAAAACAAACTGACGAAGTGAGCCAGTTAAACCACTAAAAGAAGCAGTTTCACATTAAAAAAATTAGTGTTTTTAACGACACTGCTCAGTGCAGAGGGGCTGCCACAAAAACATGAATATCAAATGGCCCTTTCTAGAGCCAGTGTTTGGTTTGTCCGCTCTGGGCTACTGCAGAAACACAGCGGTGCAACATGGCAGACTGTGGACGATGTCCCTCTATAGATATTAATGTCTCATTCTAAGGTAACAAAAACACAAAAATTCAAATTTTTTAGGTGATTATACAATGAAGAAAAAAATACTTTTTGCCAATCTTATAAAGCTGAAAACTTTGAGAGTGAATTAAAATGTTTGAGTCCCATACATCATATTATTAACAAAGCCAGTTTTGCAGTGACAGTGTATCGACAAGGGACGTTAAATTGAAAATAAAACATGGGCCTTTGTGTTCTTCGAAAGTGGTAGTTCATTGATTAGACTGCTCAGTCAGGACTGAAGTCAATAAGAGATTAGCTTTTAAGTCAGCCACTAACACTAATAGCTGCTTAAGTATTTCTGTGTGACTAAGAACACTGAAATTCCAACAAAGTACAAATAAATCATGGGTTTAGAAATATAAATCCTTTTCTGACTCATTTCCATCCTAATCCTTAACCTCTTATGGTGTGAAGCTGGATTGATCACAATGTCAACAGGCCTGTGTGGTCGTGTAAACTGACATCTGGCTTATTCATTTCCTGAGAAGCTTGGGACAGATGATGTTACTGGAGTTGCTCAAGGTGCAGTTGCTGTGCGTGGATGTGAAAGAACCCACCTCTCCTTTCGAATTATCGTGAGCCACCGAGATATTGTTGGAAGCGTTTAGTAACCTGAAGAGAGGCAACGGACAAATCAACACCAAGTCAAGATCATAGCCAAGGACAAATCTCTCTGAGTGCTGAGGTCCCTGAAATTACACAATACGGCTAAAAAAACCCAGATGACTTACTGGTCTTCTTTGAAGTAAGTGAAACCAACAAAGGGTAACTGGTTTCCAACAAAGGCTTTAGGTGTGGGGAAAGTTTCTACATCGCCTTTGTCGTCTTCAATCTCATCAAAGTTACTGGTGTCTATGTCACTGCTCAGCTCTGGGACCACAGGGGCAACCGCTGAGGAGGGAGAGAGAGAGGAGGGAAAAGCAAGTGTGAATTGCTGGAAAAAGGAAGTCCTGTGTAAACAAAAGTCTGAGTTTCAGACTAATAAATCCTTTATCTTGTACTCCGATACAGCAGCTGTTGTAAATAATTCTAGTTCTGAGTTTGAGTGAGGTTAAAGTTTTGTCTGATTTGCTCAGGTGAAGCTGCTTGATGAGCCGTGGTGATACTAACAGTCTCTGATGGTGTCGAAGGTCCACTGGTCGTTCTTGAAGAAAGGGTGCCGCTTGATTTCCTCCACGCCATTTCTGCCCAATCGCACCTCCCTCAAAACAAAGAGAGTGAATGAGTTGTAGAGCGATGTCTAAATGTACCTTTGTGCTCTGTAGCAAAAGGCAAACATGACCATATGATACATATTCTTTTCTGAGAGTCTTTAGAAGTGAACAAATTAAAGCCAGAGCAAAATACACTTAATTTCCTTTGGCCTAAAGCACCACAAACTAAACCAGAGCTATACATATGTTTGCTGTGTACAGCATCAACATGTTATGTAATGTCTGAGTATCGCTCTAGATGAAAAGTAACCCCGTGCTCCCTGCTGGCGTCACCGCCATCAACACCTTCAAAATGTGAGAGACTGTATCTCTTTCTACCTGTCAGTCAGGAAGGCACAGATGATATTCCTGGCATCTTTGGAGATCTCCACATCATCGGGGAAGTTGAGGGAGTTTTTGTGGTCCATGATCTTACTGTAGGTTCCCACCAGAGAGTCGGCGTAGAATGGCGTGTCACCTAACAGCAATTACAGCAAGTTAGCTACAATAAACTGCACTGGAATACTGGAATAGACGGTTGTTTAACATACTGAGATGATTGTAACATGACATTATAAGTGCAAGACTAGAATTACCATCCCTTAAAATGCAAACATACTGACTCTGGTTTTGTAAAATTCCGTTAAATTTACTGACCGACAAGCATCTCGAAGATGAAGACCCCTACAGACCACCAGTCACACTCTCTCCCATAATACCCATCTCCTCCCTGGGATTTCAGCACCTCCGGAGAGATGTAGTCTGGAGTCCCGACAGCTGTATCACAGTGCACCATGCCAGTCTGCAACACAAATCCAGGAAGCAATATTCTTCAAAATCTTACAAGTACTGTATGTTTCGACATAATAACCCTTGATATGTTTTTCTGTTTTGGTGTGAGTTGCTAAGTGTTGGAAATATCAGCTGTAGAGATGTCTGCCTTCTCTCCAATATAATGGAACTAGATGGCAGGTCCAGAAACAAAATCTGGAAAACTCAACAGCAATGTCTCTTTCTAGAAATCATGACCCAGTTATTCAAGATAATCCACAGACCTTGTTGTGAGCAGTTTCATGTAGGAACTATTTTCTTTCTACTGAACTACAAGTGCCAATGATATCACCGTGCACAAGAAGGCATGGATCTACTGCTAGCTCACCTAGCACCACTGAACAAGCTAATGTTTACATGGTTCTAGCGCTAACACAAGCCTCTCGTCTATGAGTAGATGCACGCAGTGGGCGATTTGTTTATTTTTATCACGGGGGGACGCCTCTGTGTGTGCCCATCTAGTTCCATTATATTCAAGAGTAGGCAGACATCTCCACAGCCAGTATCTCCAACACTCAGCAACTCACAACAACCAATCAGATAAACAGCGTAACAGGTGGGAGGAAAAATATGTGTTTTTAATTTGGGGTTTATTGTTCCTTAAAGACAATAGATACATATAAATCTAAAAGTACCAGTTTATGAGATGTGTCAGGAGAAAACACAGCCTGCTCTCTAACTGAGAAACCCTTCAGTCCAAAATCTCAAATGTACAACTGAATACTATGAGGGCTGATTTAAGTTCTTAGACAATTTTTGTTCTTGAAATAAATTAGGGCCCTTACTCTTGTTGACTCCTGTTACTCATGCCATACATGGCACATTTTATATGGAGAACTTCAACAAGGTTGATACACACAGGATGAGAATTCAAGAACCTATCATCACAGTTCACCATCAAGCAGCATTATCATGTACTAAGAGTTAAGTTCAATAGATTTATGGGACCAGCCAATGTCTATAAACTTGTGATCGCAGCTCAACAGCACTGTGTTATCTGCATTCCTTGCCTGTAATATGAGGTAAAAATGTATTCATGTGACAGTAAAAGAAACAAACTGGTGGCAGAGCAACTTCTCAGAAACACAGCATGCAGCTGTACTGAATTTCAATGCTGGGATACAACTCACAGAATCCATCTTCATGCATGTGCCAAAGTCGGCTAGTTTGAGGTGTCCGTGTCTGTCCAGCAGCATGTTGTCCGGCTTGACGTCCCGATGGATGAAGCCCATGGAGTGGATGGCATCCAGGGCCATCACCACCTCTGCTGTGTAGAACTTGGCCCATTTCTCCGGCACGTCGTAGGTGCTGGTGAGGTTGACCAGGTCACCTCCCGGCATGTACTCCATCACCATGTAGAGGTAGTGCTCATCTTGGAAGGCACAGCACAACTGAAGGACCCAAAAACAAGCTCTGATTACTAAAGGTGGCTATAGTATGACAATTAGCACCAATTTATTTGCCATAGCTGTATGGATTTTTGTGAGATTGCTACGTTATTTGAATAATAAATGAACATAAAGGATGTCCTGTAAAATGTAACAATCGGTACGAAAATATAACTGTAAAAGCACTAGAAAAAACAATGAGAAGCTGAGTAGTAAATAATAGTCATACCTGCACAACCCAGGGACTGTTGGCAAAGGCCATAATGTCCCTCTCTTCCCAGAAGAAAGCTGAGTCAGAGCGCTTGAGCATCTCAAATTTGCTCAATAGTTTCATGGCATAGACCTTCTGAGAGGCTTTATGTCGGACCTGAATGAAGGTGAAATCCAGTTAATCAGATTTTATCACTCAACAGAAGCCTTGTCAGTGACAGCTGAAAATGAAAACCAATACTCACTAGCTGGACTTCACCGAATGCCCCTCGACCAATGACTTTAACTCTGTCAAAGTCTTCAGACTTCATCTGGAGGTCTCGAGTCTGTCCTATGACTTTCTCATCTGAGTATGAGGAGAGCAAAGAATCCCATTAATAATGTTGTGAATTTAGTAACAGATATCTATCATCTTCCGCTCCCACATCCTCACTGGCACACAAACACTGCATACATCTGTTTAAGAAGGTTTCGATGTTTTTGTTCTTGCGTAGTGCAGGGTAGTCCAAGTCTAAGACCAAGGCGTTGATGGAGTCCTACACAGAGAAAGAGAGAGAACCATTAACCAACTGTCATGACTGACAGAAACGACACTGATGAAGCAGTTAGAATGGGTCACATCACTATCACGCATGTACTGTATATATTGGACAATTAACAGTTTGAAGCATGACCTTGTGTGTCCATCTTTCACCTCTGAGTGACACCACATAAAGAGTGAAACTATGTCGTGCTGCACCAAGAGGAAAAACATTAGTTCAGATTGTGTGTTATCACCCCAGCTGCTCTTTTTGCTTTTTCCAAGTACACGGTAAACACAAGTTACAACACATTCTTGGCATAGACGAGTGTGTTGATCGTAAAAGATTACATCATACTGCAAGTCATTGTGTTGCAATTAAAACACGACAACTTCTCGGTGACAAACCATGAGGTGTTTCCTCCATTCATCTGCATTCATTTGCACACAAGAGGGGCTGTATGAGATGGTGTAATTGTCAAAAATATTTACTGTTAGATTCCAATCATTTAGTCTAAATCCTGGACAAAATGTATTAATAATTCTGCATCGTGAACATCTGATATCACCCAGCTATGGAGGAAATGTGTCATGCCCTCTGTGTCATACTTGACTTTGACGCTTCATGACCACAACACTGAGCAAAACACGAAGCAAAACCAACTGGCACACACATATTCTACCCAATAAAGGCAGTGGAGTGCAGCACTGATGGGGCCTCAAACAGCAGCAGGCCTACAATCAAACTTAACATGACTCAAGACTGAATGCATTTCTAAGGAGAGTTTATTTTCTGTATATTTTCTCACCACTGCACAGAACAATAACAGTTACACATCACTGCCAGACCCAGTGAGTCTGAATAAAACAAACAGCACTGCCCCAGCGTTTCATTCAACAGTGATCAACTTGACGGACTGAATACATAAACAGCAACTACACGCAAAGGAAATTGTTTTAACTAATGGCTTTGTTCCTCAAGAGAGAGAGAGGGAGAGACAGAGACAGAGAGAGACAGAGACAGACAGACAGACAGACAGAAGCAGGATGACTCATTTCTTCATCAGAAGCAACCTACTTGATTATGTCAATGTCAGTGAGATTCATCTGCTGACAAACGATGAACGCTCTGTTTCTGTGACCGTTTGAAAGCAGTCTGTCTCAGGAAGATGAAGTCACCTCCGCACTGTGTGTAGCCACTGCATTAAAAACCACATTCATAGCTCTCAAAGAACTTCCCACATGTTTAACACAAGAAATTACCAAGAAACATGACAGCATGACGTTATTAATCAACACATAAGCTTGTGAAATAATTCCCTGGTACTGTTCAACTATACCAACTATCCAATACAGCAAATTCTTGGTCCACCTGCATTTTAAAAAGGTATCTATTTGCCATTATGCAAATTTCCCTGCTGTGGGATGAATACAGGATTATCTTATCTTATCTCATCGCATCTTTTCCTGATGCCAGTATCTGCATTAGGATCTCAGGTATCATATTGTGGTACCCCACAGCAGACATAATGTAGTCAAAGAATAACTGAGAAAAAATAAATGAACTCAGTAACAAATAATACTGTGAATTCATTATTGAATAAGTCCAAGACATATTTTATTGAAATCCTCGATGAACACAAGAGACAAGAACTTGAAGAAGATGATGATGTTATAGCATGGTATGTGTGAATCTCCCAGTAGAGTTAGCTTAAGGGAGTACTTCACCTACAAAATGACCATTTGCATATCAGTCTGTCATGCCGTGTTTCTTTGAATTTGTGGAGAAAACTTTTGTTTTTCTCACATGCCTCCATGGAATACAGCGAACATAGTAGTTTATTGACTGATTGGGGAACACTTTCACAACAACAAAACTATATCAAAAAATCCATACACAAACTCTGACACAACTCGTGCAGTTTAGTGCAAGTCTCATTTATTCTGTCATATATATATATATATATATATACTTCTCGAAAAACATCATATTGGTGTGTGACTTTGAAGAAAGCATAGGTAAATTTCATTTTCTGTTGAGTTTTAAACAGAAAGGTTTTAGCAAAAAATGCATGTGTTTGGGCAGTACTGAGCACACGACTGGACAAATGAGGCTTGAATTATACTGGCCGGGTGTGTGAGTTTGTAAATTGATGTTTTGATATAGTTTTGCTGATGTTAAAGTGGTCCCCATATCAATAAATAATCTGTGTTTGCCGTTTTACATGATGGCATGAAAGAAAAGCAAAGTTTTCTTTAAATTTAAGGTAACAGGGCATGACTAACTGATATACAAATGGTAATTTCTCCAAAGCCTTACTGTTGTTACACAGACACGGACACAGGCAATACCACACATATACACACCACACTCTCTACCAATCACCGCTCTGGACATACATGGACATGTGGGAGGAAAATCAGAAATGAGGTGACAAAAAGGAAATTGGATTGCTGCATTTTGGATTGTATTTAAATACATGATTAAATGTGTGCCATGATAAAAAAAAACACAAAAATAAATGAAAAGAAAAATAAAATGAGCAAGTGAAGGATATAAATATTAAAGATTGGAAGTTAGAGGAAAAGTAGAGCTTTATATGTCTTTTTAAACTCTATTCTAATCTTTTAACTAACAATATTATTCACTGATAGATTCTGTTGTATTACTGACTTGTCTGATAAACTGTCATCTCATTGTGATATGGCTTTAAACTCCACTCTGTGAGCAGCGTCGCAGCAGCCCGAACAGAACCAGAAGCTTAAAACTGGACTGCAGCAGCATCTTTGGTCAACAGAACACAAGCTAACTATGTGTAGCATTCAGTCATCTGATAATGGATATATTTTGACCCAGGGCAATGTAGGGAAACTATTAAATAAGCAAAAGACAGACTGATGTAAACCCATAATTGTTACAGTGTGTTACAATAAGGAAGTCATCTATCAACTTTTGTCAGCCACGCATTCCTTAACGGTCAATGAGGAGCTGTTTGAAACATTGGACCAAGCCAAATGTTATAACAGAGAACACAAGAACCCCACTCTGACCCAGTGGTCTAAACTGGTTTCTTTCAAACTTGTCGTCTTCCTTCCTCTTCTTGCTCTCCCATCATTACAGTAGTAGACAGGATGGCACAATCTGTGTTGTGTTTCCCTCATGTCCTATGTATTCATTTCCCCCTCTTCTTTTTTCTTTTGCCCTTTTCTGCTGCTCTCCCTATGTCTTATCTGCCTCTCCTCCTGCTCTCTCCATCGTTCTCCACTCGGCTGCAGCCAGTCTACAACGAGCTGCACACTCTGTTTCATCATCTCTATTTCACTTCCCCATTAAAGGACTGACCTCACACAAAACTACTATTTAAGGGAAAAAAATACACACGCTGGGGGGTGGAGTGGGGTTGCCGGGTGTGTGCGCACGTACACATACACGCACGAGGATCTCCCTACGAGCACAGCAATACAGGAAATGATCCACCCCACCCCAGGGCTGGCAGATAATTTCACTGTGTCATGAAGCCAGTCCCTGTGTGCAAGTCATTTCCTCTGAGGCAGCATTCTCTGCTACTGCTGCTCTGCATTCGTCTGCAGCCAAAAATTTAATTCACACATGCACGGCAGCTGAAGGTATGACCATGTATACAATGCATCCAAGACATTACCTGTCGTATGTGTTTAGACACACACTTTACTTGCCAAAACATCTGCAACAGCCTCAGCTGACATCAGCATCCAATCATTTCTTGAAACTCGTTAACTGATTTGGGGCGTAGGCCCTGCAGGTTCACGATGTCTATGCGTGTCACTGCGGTAAGCTGTAGTCGCTACATTACTGAAACACTGTGGTTGCGTCAAGCTACAGGAGAGAGGAAACAAATAGCTACAGTAACCACAGGTGATTTACCGTTTCCAGTTTTCTACATGTTATTATTTATTCACTTTGTCCCTTTTTCTAGAGTGTGTGCTTTTATGGCATGATGTTAAAGTCTGTTAAACATGTTGCCATATATTATATCTTGACTGGCTGTTGCACAGTATCTAAAAAGCAGGAGGGGAACCAGTCACTGAGCATCAGGCAGCAATTACATAGCTCAGATATGAAAGATATCATTTTCATAATGCTACAGGCCTCAGATAAATCATGCATTTAGTTTCCAATGTTTAATTTTAACAGTTAACCTTGAACGTTCATGTAGATCTGTGCTTTTATGACAAATGAACGCTTGTGTATTTATTAAGTAATTGATTTACTGCTGTTATCATTTCGTTTCCTAGCAACTTGTGATCCCATCCAAACCACGGGCTGAAATCCATTAGATGCTGGTGAAAATCAAGTATGCTTAGTTTGGCAAATAAAATTTCTAAAAATGAATGTTATCGTAATTATCTGCTTGGCCGAGCTGATTTCTCAGAGGCAAATAAGCAAACCATGAAACCACCACATGGGCCAGGCGTCTTAAAGTGAACAAACAGGGCCGCTGCCTTCTTTCAGTAGTAAAACGTGCCGTTTGGTCCCTCAGCTCTGTGATCGCAGGCAGAAAGTTTGATCATTCACAGAGGCAGGACAGCCTGACACAGTTGGGACGGTTCACATGTGGAGCTTATGCACCTTTCTATCCGAGGCCGTGAATGGAAACAAAGCACTTTCAGAGCAAAAACAGATCAAGTGTCACTAAATAGTTCAGAAGACTTAAGCGTTTTGTGAGGAAAAGGTCACTGCTCATCACAATAATTCATTAATAATTAATCATGTACACACTGTTCTGTAACACTGCTAAGGTCGGAGGTGCTGCACTCCAAAAACAACAACAAACCAGCATGGCATGTGGAGGAAGTTGGTGCTCTGTACCACAGTGTTCAAAGCAGAAAGACTCTAAGGCAGAGGGGATTCAGTTTCACAGATTTCCAACTTTGGACATGAAAAAGACGACAAACGTTGTCCGTCGACAGTCGCCACGAGGAATACAAAGTAAACACTCTGTTGCAACGCTTGGACTCGCTACAGGCATGTAGCAA